ATTGCTCTCACTCTCTCTCATAACTATTTATTTGTTTATTTAAATTTACTAGGTTATAATCAGGGTAGATATAAAATTTACATATTTTTCATCAGACATGTATTTCATGTAATGTAGAACATTTAACATCTTTCTTCATTGCTACATGGTCTCCCTGGCGATCACACGTAACAATAAAACTAAACCCATCGCCCTCTAGTCGAATCCGACTCATAGTGACCCTATAGGACAGAGTAGAACTGCCCCATAGGGTTTCCAAGGAGCAGATGGTGGATTCGAATTGCTGAGCTTTTGGTTAGCAGCCGTAGCTCTTAACCACTATGCCACCTACATAATATTCTATTCAGTGAATGTATCACAGTTTACAAAAACAGTTTCCTATCTTTGGATAGTTAGGTTGTTGCAATTTTTTTTCATTACTATTCAAAATAATGCCGGGAAGAATATCTTCGGCTTCCGACTATTTCCTGTGGGTGTGTGTTTGTGTGTGTCTTTCTTTTGCTTATTGCCTTATAATGGATTCTCAGAAAAAGATTCTGTGTGTCAAGGAGGGTACATATTTGAATAGCTCTGATACACACTGACAACTGGCTTTTCAAAAGTGTTACATCAATCATCTGGCCATCAGCAGGCCATGAAAGTACAGCTTTCACCAAACTCTCTTCAGCAAGAGATATTCCAACTGTTAAAAATTGGACAAATTTTATTATAAGTTGATAAACGGTTATTTTATTTATTCCGCAAAAATTTACGAGGCTGCCATGCCTTGATCTAGAAACACCAAGGTCCCTCAGTCCTCACAGGAGCCACAGGGTAAAATGAGAACAATAAAAAACAGACAACTGCAAAACTTTCTCAAATCCCCAAATTTGTGACTGTTGCCAATTGATTGTGGTGAACGGAGGTCACTATGAGAGATCACCTCCCTCATACCCAGCTCAGAGGAAAAATGATTCAAATTCCTGCTAAATACGATACTGTCAGCACAGGTATACTTGGCACGCAGTTAGGCATTCAAAGAACACTGATGAAGTATAATCCTGGCATACAGATACAATCTGAAGTAAAACATGATTACATAGACATCTGAATATACACACATAAATGGGATTATCCTGCATATGCCATGTGAAATTAGGCTTCATTCACTGCATGGCACATCCTATACGTTAACTATTAATATAGCTTGGAAATCCTGGTGGTGTAGTGGTTAAGAGCTATGGCTGCTAACCAAAAGGTCAGCAGTTCAAATTCACCAGGCGTTCCTTGGAAACCCTGTTTGGCAGTTCTACTCTGTCCTATAGGATCGCTCGACCGTGACGGGTTTGGTTTTTGGTTTTATTAACATAGCTTAACTATTAACATTAACATAACTATTTCAATTGATATTCACTTTTTTCTAAGTTTTTACTATCATCAACAGTTCTGAGATGAATCACCCTCGGAGTAAAACTTTTGCCCACATCCTTAATTATTTCCTTCAGATAAATTCCTAGAAGTGGAGTTGCAGGCTAAGTGGTATATATGTTTTTAAAGCTTTGGATAGCTGTTGCAGAACATTCTCTAGAGAGCTTGTGGCATTTACAACCCATCATCACTATGTGTGAATACTTATCTCCCCATACTTTCTCCAAAGCTGGCCATATAATCACTCAAATCTAAAGTAAAAAAACTTAATCCTCATTGTTGTTTTCATTTTGTATTTGTTTAATCCCTAGAATTTGAGCCATTTATGCTCTATTGGCAATTTGTACTTCTTCTTTTACAACTTGTTGATTCTTGTCCTTTGTCTTCTTTTGGGACACGTATGTTTCATTGATTTGCAAGAGCTGTGTTATAAACATTAATCCTTCCTCATAAATGCCACCATTTTTTTCCTGAATTTATCGTTTACTTTCAGTGTGCATTTTGATTAAAAGATATTTAAATTTTTTGGAATGATCAAGGTATGAAATGACTGTTTTGAAGAATACAGAAGCGAACATAAAAGAGGAGAAAAGTAAATAAAAAGCCTAGAGCACTATGTTTAAGGCTCAGTTGGAGGCCGTGGATTTCTAGGGGCTTCAATCTGCAAATCTGTAGCAGCTCTTGGTAGCTTGGAGCAGAGGGAGAAAAGGGAGAAGTAGGATTCACTCAGCTAGGGTTTCACCTGGTGAGTTGATCAGAAGCAGGGCAAAGGAATAAGGAAGCTGCGTGTATTAGCAAAGAGTCTCTGGATGGTGCAAAAGTTAATGCGTTTGCCGCTAACGGTAAGGTTGGTATTTCAGGTCCACTCAGAGGCACCTTGGAAGAAAGGCCTGGTGATCTACTTCCAAAAAATCAGCCATTAAAAACCCTAGGGAGTGCAGTTCTACTCTGACACACGTGGAGTCGCCAAGAGTCAGAAACGACTCAACAGCACCTAGATTTTTGGGATATACTAGCACATGTGCTGCTGAAATGATGGACCACGTGGGCAGGACACGAGGCAACTGATCCATTGGGAGAAAATGGGAGGGGCTGGGTCCCCTATGTAGTTGAAGACCAGATACAACAGAATGTGAACATGAGAGAGCTCGATGGTCTAGAAATTTTCCACAACTTTCTTCTATCATACTTTCTATCATCACTTCTGATCCATTTATTCTATTTTCTTCTTTTAAAACGATGCTTATTTGTATCTACAGTGAACCCTGTGAGAGCCAGAAGTCAACGGGACTGCCTTGCTTTTCTGGGTCTTGGAAGTTTTCCACCTTCGACAGGGTGCAGTCCTACCACTTTTCTATTGCTCGTGTTGGTGGAAAATACTTGAGTGTTCCTTCTCTGACAGGCTTCCGCCTTACACAGGTCCCAGCTCTCACAGGTTTTACTGTATTATATTTACCCTCATATTTTTAAGTTTCTTTACTCATTAACTTTTTAATCAGAAAGAGTTCCACATTTCAGAATCAATTTCCAGCTGTTGATTCCATTTACCGGATCTAACACGTCTTATTTTAGCCACTCTACTGTCTACTTCCTTGCGTTCTCTCATCTCAGCCTGTACTTATTTAAAAGAAGCATTTCTTCCTGCATCCCAAGTGGTATTTTAATTGCAGATTATGAGACAGGAGGGAGGAAGGTTGCAGGAGAGAGACAAATAGGGCCATGTACCCTTTAGGCCTTGACAAGATCACAAGACACACAGTAAACACCAGACTTCAGTGAGTTACCATGCTCATGGGTCACAATCGAGGGTCACGCTGGAAAGCTGCCAGGGACTTCTTGTGTGTAGCAGAGCAACCAAAGTCCAGCACCCTGTTTGCTCTGCCCCGAGAACATTTTCTTGCAACACTTAGGCTTTGGAAACTAGTGACCATCCCTGCCCCTCACTTAATTTTGTTGTTGTTAGCTGCCAATGACTCAGCCCCTTACTCATGGTGGCCCCATTCAGAACAGAACAAAATGCTGCACAGTACTGTGCCACCTCCATTATTGGTTGTGGATCAGACTACTGTGATCCATAGGGTCTTCACTGGCTGATTTCAGAAGTAGATTGCCAGGTCTTTCTTCCTAATCCATGTTAGTCTGGAAGATCTGCTGAAACCTGTTCAGCATCATAGCAACACACAAGCCTCCACTGACAGATGGGTGGTGGCCGCTCATGAGGCGCATTGGCTGGGAATCAAGCCAGGTCTCCTGCATGGAAGGTGAGAACCCTACCACTGAACCACCACTGTCCTTGCACTTCATTTTAGGGATATTTTTATTAAAGAGTCAAGGGAATCGTTATTTAGTAGCTTGTAAAAACAAGATGCCACAGTTTCAAACATCTCTTTGCCAGCTCCAGGGCCCTTTCTCCCCAGCTTCAAAGAAAAAGCAAAGCCAAAATTCCTCTGGTGCATGGGTTAAGGAGGCCTCAGGCCCTGGAGTTCTCTAAGATAGGTGAGGAGCTGGCAGATGGCCCGGGCCTTCGCTGATTGGAGAAGGCAGAAACTTGGACTTCAGGCAATGCAGACCACCCACCGCATCTGCCAAATCACAAGGAGCCATCCAGGTAAGCCTTGAGAAGCGCCCCTTTCTGAAGGCATGTTGCACATCATCCAAGGCCCTCTCACAAACAGAAGCCATGAGGTTCCTTTGCCCTCAGCCTTGGAGCTGAGCTGTCATTGTAGACAGAAATGCCACCTTTGCATCTGAACTCTTAGGTCACCACACAGCAAACCTAGCTAGAGATTTAGAAAGTAAAACCAGTCCTTTCCGGAGGGAAATCTAATCAGACCCTCCGTCCTTTTCTTTTTACACAACATCCAGAAACATCAGAGAAAACAAAACAAAATCAAAGTATTAAAAAAAAAAAAAACACTCAAGAAGCAGAAGAGCAGTTTGGTCATTCAAACCATCGAGCGTTTTCATGTATTTTAAAATGATTCCTTTTATCTGAACAACATCTGTTCTTGAGAAATGATCTTTGGGGAGAAAGTTAGCCATCTTCCTAAATAGTAGAACTCTGAACCAGGGAAGGGCCAAAAATGGCAGACTCACGCAGGGAATTTTCTCAAGTTACACATACTGTCTGTCTCCATTTCTCCCAAAAGGTTATCAAACACCTCACATCGACCCCCCTCCTCAAGCACGCACGCACGCACGCACGCACGCACACTTGGGCTGAGATTGAAAACACCTGCACGGAGATCATGGTGCAGAGGATACTTCATCGTCCTCCTCCCACATCAGAGTTAAATGCATGACTGAAGCTGACAGTAGCCCCGGGCTACCTCATTCTCTCACTTGACCTGTAAGGAAGCCAAACATTTCCTGAGAGAAAACTCTCAGAGCCCATCATTTGCCAAATGAGAGAATGCTAAGCTTGACTCCCAAACAGGAAGACCTTTCGCCTGAAAACTCAGCGCAGCAGAGCCCCACTGCTGTGATTACATAGCATCTCTGTTCTGAGTATAAAGTCTGAGATGGCCACCCGGAGACAGACCTGGACCCAGTCCCAGGCCTCAGCCCTGGCTCCGTGAAGACTGGACACCTACCTGAGACAAAGGAATAGGCCGCTAGGATGTTGCTGAGTAAAGCCATCTCCACGCGCTGTGGCTGAAGGGCAGCCTCAGTGTCGCCTCCAGGGGAGGCCTCCAGGGGATGCTTCTGCTGGAACAAGGTGGCCACCCTCCCTCTCTTCTCTTCTGTTTGAGAACAGAAAGGGAGTGATGAGAACACATTCTGCTTTCCTGAGGCTATATTCCAGGTTGCCTGGGCTCAAGAACAAAGAGTCAGCTTCCTAAATGCCAGCTAGTTTTCCCAGCTGGGGGCCACAAAGACCTCAGGTCTTATCCTCTTTGGTCAAGTGAGCTTTCTGGCTTTCAAGAAGAAGCAACTTACGTCTGTTTTTCTTAGTCTTTCTCCTTTCTTTTCCCCATCTCCGCACAACTGCCCAATTTAGCATTTCCCCCTTACCCTTCCCTGTTTTCTTTACTTCATCCTCCCTGGTTCACCGCTGAGGCACAGCCCATTGAGTTCAAACCATAGTCACCTTAATCACTGCATTTTAACCACAAGCCACAGCCCACTCCTCTCCTGGATCTGCCTTCCCCTTAGCCTGCACTGATAGCACTTCTGTACCTTGATCAGTTTGCCTCACCCTACAGGTCACCAAAGGCAAGTCCTTGGCACTGGGTCAGAGCTGGTTATTCTGGAACTGCCAAATCAGCTGCAGTTCCAAAATGCCACAAGCATTTCGGAACTCAAGCCTGCTCCCTGTACCCTCCCCCCCCACAAGGTCTATGACCCTGCTGGTGACCGTGATGGGTCAACCACTGCCCACAGACTGCCCACTGGCAGAACTGTCCACCAGAGTTCAGAGCAGGGAACTGCAGGATCTCAGTGTTCAGCAGCTTGGCCTCTGGCTGGGAGAGCCTGTCCTCTCCCCAGCTGCTGCTGCTGCGGCTCAGACCTAGTATTACTATTACCCGGTTCACTCCGTGAAGCCTACACAGAGCATTCCTGAGGATGGCTGGGGAGAGAAACGGCAAAGACCGTGATGACTCCTGTTCAGTGCTGCTCTGAGTGATGGAACTGAGTTGGGGTGTGGAGGGATGTCAGGCTTGGGGAAGGTTGGAGAAGCAGAAGGCTCCAGTCCTTGGGGAGGAAACTTGGGTTCCCAGGTGGGTCATGGATGTCAGCAACATGGGCCACATTTAGAGGGCTGGGAGAGCTCTGACTCCACAAGTAGATGGAATGGGTTACAACAGACAATTCTTCCTCCGCTGAGTCAAAGCACATGGCCTTCTTCAATAGTCACTTGAGTCTCTAAAAGGTGACAACTGGTTTATACAGGTCTATGCTTGGAACCACCACCCTGAGTTCAGAAGCTGTTCTGCAGGTCTGAGGACTTCAGGACCCAAGAAGAAAGTGAAGGCACTGGAATATATCTGAGTATGTAGTGAGACTAGGCACTTCAGATCCATTTCCTCCTATTTACTGATGAGAGTGCAAATCTCATCAATTCATTTCTGGAAGTTTTGCACCACTCTCCTACCTGTCCTTCTATCAACACTTTCTTCTTGCCCAAACTAGTACCCATTCTCACCAACAGGTTATCTTTTTAAAGTACAAATCTGTTTGCATCATTCCACAGATCAACCCTTTAATTAATCTCTATTAAACTTTTTAACACAACACACTTCTACTTCCACAATATCTGACCCCTGCCTTCACTTCTAATTCATCTCCTACCCTTGTCTACACTCACACACACTCACACAAATACAAGCTTGCCTAAAGCTCTAAGAACAACAGATACCTTTAGTTCTCCAAATCCATCAAGCTCTTTTATCTTTCCATGCTTTGTTTGTGTTCTCCCCTTTGCCAAAATGCCCCTCCAACTCCACTTATCTGTCTGGCAAATGTTTCTTTTAAGACAGTGGTGAAAAGTTCTATCACAGTGAAGCTCCCAATGAATCCTCCAGACTCCTTTCTTTGGCTTTCAAAGTATCCAGATACTTTTCTAATATTGCACCTATGTTATTGTATCATGAATTATCATCTTATACGTCTATCTCCTAGACTTGAAGAGGTGTCTTATAATCCTTGTTATCCAAGTCTGAAGAAAGAAGGTTCTCAATGAACATTGGATGGCTTAGTGGCTGGCTGAAAACAAGAGCAATTAGGCATGAGCTTTGTATTCATAAGCCTCAGAGAGTATTTCTGAGCACAGCAGAGGGTGAGCCATCTTGGAGATGCAAAGGATACCAGGGCTGACCATGGCTCTGGATGAGGAGCCAAGAAGAGCACTTCCTAAGCACTGCTTTGTAAGGACTGTGAGGGGCCATGAGCAAGATGGAAGCTTTACTGTAGCTCAGAGACTCTTCCTGCAAGTCTCCTCATGCCCTAGGCTCTAACGGAGAGGGTTTCAGCAGCTGGGGCAAGAAGAAGACACAGAAAGGTGTCACGGCAAAACTACGGAAAAACAATCTCTGGATGGCCCAGCCTAGAGAATGACCTATATCAACCAAGAAGAAGCTCCATGGTCCACATGGCAGAAGGCAGCCTAGGTCAGGAGTCAGGACACTTTTCTATAAAGGGCTAGAACATATTTTAGGCTTTGTGGGATATACAGCCCCTGTCTCAAATATTCAACTTTGCTATTATAGTGTGAAAGCAACTATAGATAATATGTAAATGAATAAGTATGGCTGTGTTCCAATAAAAATGTATTTACAAAAATAGGTGGTGGGCTGAATTTGGCCCAAATGCATATCCCTGGCCTAGTCCTTACTACTCAAATTATGGTTGAAGGACCAGTAGCATTAACGTTAAGTGGTAGCTTGTTAGATACACATAATCTTGAGCACCTAATGAATCAAAGCCCACATTTTTAAGATCCTCAGGAGAGTCTGAGAAGTGCTGCTCTGTATGACCTTGGTGAGCCCCTTCAGCCTGGCACTGTGATGTCTATGCAACAGCCCAGGCCTAGGAGGAGTTTCACTAGTGCGATCTTTGTAAGTCTGATCTTGGAGGACCCTGCCATACAGCTCATGCTCCAAGTGGTTGCAGAGTACCTTGAAAGTGAGGAAACCAAGCCAGGTGGCAGGGATGGGCAGAGGAGATTCTGTTCAGGGCAGCTGTCAATGATACAAGATCTGTAGAATTTAGAGAGGTGATGAACCCCAGCGTCAAATCCTTCTCTCAACTTCCACTCACTGAGTCCTCCTTTAACAGCGGTGGACAGCTCAAGGCAGCTCTGGACATTCTTCACTGGTGGTTCACCCTGTAATTAAAACATTTCAGCATCTCCTACCAACATAAAGGTAAGGGGCATGAAGTACTCATCCACCCCCAAGTATAATACTGGGTTTTCTTCAAGGAAGCCCCTCATCACTGGCTAGCTCCTAGAAGAGTGGTTCTCAAGGGAGTGATTCGCCCCCACGTAGGGGATATTTGCCAATGTCTGGAGACATTTTTGGTTGTTACAACGGCAGTGGGGGCAGTTGCATGTAGTGAGTAGGGGCCAGGGTTGCCATTAAACATCCTACAATGCACAGGATAGCACCCCACAGCAAAGAATCATCTAGTCCAAAATTTAATAGGACTGAGGTTGAGAAAACCCTGTTCTAGAACACACATCACTGCTTCATCGACCAGCCTAGCAATTTCAGTGTTTATGCATCTCATGTGCATCATCAGTACAGTCAGAAAGGCGTCAAAGAGAGGCGCTGGCTTGGCGTTCCGAGCAACCTTGATCAAAGCATCAGAGGTCCAAGTCCTGGCTCAACAATTCAATGTTCCCACGACTAGAAGTGACCACGCTCTTGGGCAATGAATCACATTAACCAACCCCTCCAAAACCAAAAACCTGTTGCCAAGTCAATTCTGACTCACAGCGACCCTACAGGACAGAGTAGAACTGTCCCATAGGGTTTCCAAGGAGCGGCTGGTGGATTAAAACTGCCAACCTTTGGTTAGCAGCCAAGCTCTTAACCACTGCGCCACCAGGGCTCCAAACCAAACCCATTGCCATCTAGTCAATTTTGACTCATAGTGACCCTATAGCGACCTCAACCAACTCCTCAAGAGAACTCAATTCTTAAAAAGTCTTACTCTCAAACAGCATTCTCTCATAGGTGACCCAAAGCCCCTTCATCTAATTGCTAGCAAACTACAGTTCAGTTAAGGGCAGAGAGCTTCTTTCCAACACTTACATCCAGAATCTTATCTTTACGAACACACGTTAGTCTCCAGATGAAGATGACAAAAAAAACCCCCAGCCTCATGAGCACCATCGCTAAGACTGAATGAGTAATTGCATGCACTGTATGCTATTTTCACTAGCTTCCTTCCATTTCAGAGGTAACCTCCTTCCCAGTGCTGCAAATTCATATACTCTGGAGCCTTGCTTTTATACTCGGTCTAATCACTGAATGGCAAAGTACAAAATGAAACGTACCCCGTGCTAGTGCATTTCATCTTAATTTCGGTAGCAGCAGTGAACATCTCCCGGTATGTAAGCCCCCATGCAGGTGACTACCTCATTATATGCTGTTCAGGGGGTGATAATCTAATTATCATTTTAGCTACCTGGGGAGTGATGTGCTGTCAGGAACAGAGAAGCATCTGGCAAGAAGAGTTCATCCCTGATGATACAGGTATCAAGCAGTAGGGACTCTGAAACTTGGTTGGTCCTAGTTGGTGTCTCAGGATCTGAAAGAAAAGACAACAGCACACAAATCAAAGAATGACCACATGCCTGGAGATGACATCATGCCTTGGACCTGATGTCGTCCAGGAACCAGCAGAGACACCTCGGGTGTGTCTGTCTGGGTCTGTAGAGAGATGGGGCAGCACCTCCTGAAAGGATGAAGCCCACTGCCAGAGTTTCATCTGCAATTTGGACCAGACAGGCAGAGAAGCCAACCTCCCTAGGTCATAGCAAAAAGGCAATGAGAGGTAAATGATCAAAGACATGTGCTTCCTCTTCCCTCCTGTCAGCCAAAACCCACAACACAGCTAAAGTGGATGTGTCCATCTGGTCCCTTGTCAGTGAAGTGTGCAGGCCAACCTCGCTGGGACAGGAAGGGAGGGAATTCTATTCCCAATAGCAATGCCCAG